TCATTGAAAGGCTCAGGCCTCTGGCTGCATCTCTCTTTCTCTTGCCTCTTACACTGTTGCCAAGGCAAAGATCTGACCTGTAGGAAGGAGTCCTCCAGAGGTCAGCCCAATGCTGGTGGTCCTCGGTCAGCAGGGCATAGCTCTCCCTGCTGCCCCTGTGATGCTGCTGGAGGGAGAGCTGCCTGGGAGGAGTTGTGGAAACGAGCCAGTGCTGTGAAAACTGGCAACTATGGGGACCATAAGTGATGTTGTGTTAGTACCCCGCCCAGCATTCAGGAGGGAGGATTTCACTGTGGCCCAGCTGGGGTTTGAGTCCTTGCTCATGGTTAGATAACCCAAGGCTTTACACATTCACCTTTGCTCTGTTTTTGCAGCCCCTTCCATCGTGTGTGAAGGCAGAAACTCACTGAAGGCCCGGCCACAGCTGCCTTCATCTGCCTTAGGCAGGATATTTAACTTTATCCAACTTTTAGACTTGGGAGGTTTTGTCACCTGTAAGGGAAGGAGAAGGAAGGAAGTACAACACTGGACTGCATTATGTCCGTGCCTGCAGACATCCGGTCTCTGCAGCCTGTTTTGTGTAGGAGTGCTCTCTTTGTATTTCATTCCTCCAATTATCGAGGTCACAGATGCTGGCTTTGTACTGCATGGTTCACAATCCCAGTGCTGCACTTCTCCGTCCTCTCTGGCCATTGAAACCCTCTGTGGTCAGCCTCTGTTCCCTTTCTGCTCAGTGTGGGGGTGGGGGCGGGGGGCACCTGTGAAACTGCCTCACAGCTTGCTGAGGACAGCAACGGAGACAACAAACGGAAAAGCACATTTCAGGTTCACTATACCAATGTCTTTCAGAAGTGTCAGCTGGGGCCCTGTAAGGAGTGTACATTCTCAGGCCCATCTTAGACTTAAGAGCCAGGAAGCTGGGCAGGATGGAGACAGACATTGGTTTGTGGTAAATAGTTCTCTGATACATGCCAGGGTTTGAGAGCCCCAGCCTTACTCTGGTGTAAGAAATAAAGTTGTAAGCATTTGGAGAAGTTTCTACTGTGTACTTGGTGCTAAGTGTTGGTTATCTTCTGTTTTGAAGAAAGAAAAGACAAGGTCTGTTCTCTCAAGTGGTCCATGTTGGAAAGGTAGAAAGATTTGCCTTGTTCTTTCTTTCCTTCATTGTTTCCTTTCTTTCTTTCCTTCCTTTCTTCCTCCCGACTGTCCTTCCCTTCCTTCCTTCCTTCCATCCTGTCTTCCTTTCTTTCTTTCTTCTTCTTCTTCTTTTTTTTTTTTTAAAGATACAGTTTCTCTGTGTAGCCTTGGCTGTTTCAGACTTGCTTTGACCATGCTGATCTCGAGCTCAGAGATCTACCAGCCTTTGCCCCTCTGAATGCTGGGATTACAGGTGTGTGCCACCACGCTTGGCTGGAGAGCCTTGTTTAAACAGGCAGGGGAATGGAGGTCCAAAAAAAAATGCAATGGTGCCAGACCCATCAGGCTCTTCTGAATGCACAAACATACGTGTGCCCGACAGTCACCAGTCCTCTGTGTGAGGTTGTTTCCTCACACGCACACTAAGTCCCGCAAATGAACTGTTCGTTGCCATGGCATGGTCCCCAAGGCTGGTTCATCTTCACTGTTTCCCCAGGAAAGTGACCAGATCATAACCAGAACACAGGCTGCACTCTGCCCGGGAAGTGGCTTCTTCAGTAGCTTTTAGATGGTGCTCACTGGCATAGCAGGTGAAAGTCTTCAGCCCCAAGGGAAGGCAGGAAGAGGCGTAGTCTGAGACCATCCTTGGCCCTGTCTCAAGAAACTGAAGATAAATAAAAAGTCTCCTGTTGGCCGAGACCAGGAGTGGCTCAGGCTCTGAGGGCTCTTGGGGAGCTAACTGGCCGATGAGGTGAAAAAGGCAGTCAAAACCTGGACAAACAGCTTTTCAAGAAATTAAAAAAAAAAAAAAAGAAAGAAAAACCAACTACTGGTATTCACACCCACTTGTAGCCCTTGCCTTCCCCAAGAGTGGCGCTAGGGATCAGGTTCAGGTCTCCCGCTTGAACAAGCAGTTTACCGAAAGAGCCACCCATGACTTTCATCAGCAGTTTCAAGAGTGTTGGTGTTGGCTTTCGAGAGCGGTTTCAAGAGCCCCGCCATTGCCAGACTACCTAATGTGGGAGGCCTGGGGTTGAGAGCACAGGCAGGCCCTGGAATTTTTAGGGTGTTCCTGGGCGTCACAGGCTGGTGGAGCTGACCCACACTTGGGGGCTTTGGGAGGGCACCATGCCATGGAAGGAACCAGGACTGCCTCCCTCCTGTGTGAAGGCCCTGGGGTGTTTTCTCTTCTTTCCTGGTTGGAACCAGCACAGGATTTTAACTCTAAGGTCCTGCTGGGTTGGTTCTTGCTTTCCTTTGTGGCCACCTCCTTGCCTCGGCTCCTCTCTGGCCTTCACTGTGAGGGCTGCTCTTGGCACCACTCCTGGCCTCCAGCCCACACCTGTGGGTGGGGGCTCACTTGCCTCTGGCTTGAGCCTGCAGCCGCCTGGCCCTGTGCCTGTTGCGTAAGTAGCCTGGCATGGAACAGGGGCTTGTAAACATCTCTGGAAAGCCAGGAAACAGGTCTTTCAGCTTTGTGGGCCAGAAGGGCTCTGAAACTAGCCCCTGGTTGTAGCATAGAAGATCCAGAGGAGACATTAGCTGACACATTGGCTTATTCAGTAAGATATCAGTATAAGGACACCAAGATGCGCATTTCATGGGCTGCCCACCTCATGAAAAACTCGTCTTTTGAGTCATTCACCCCATTCCCCCAATATAAAAATGCATGAACATCTTGTTTTGTGAGCCCTGCGGAGGCATGTGACCACGCTGGGTTCAGCCCACAGGCCATACCTTGCCTCTGGTGTGGAGCATTCACCCATTTCTGTCTTGTGTGTCCGCAGCCTCAGCTCTTGCCCATGGGAGGGCTGCGGATGCAGGTATCAGACTTCTCTTTGGATCCACAGATGTCTGCTGGAGCCCCATGTTAGGTATCGAGACAGTACAGTGCTTGAGGTATTGGCTGGAATAGAGAGCCATGCAGGGCTCTTCCTGAAGGCTTGTGACAAGTGAGGTGAATGAGGATGTTAGCTGTCTCAAGTCTGTCTCCCTCAGCAGCACCAGGAATGGCAGGGCCCTGAGACCCTCTCTCTTGTTTTGCAGATAAGAATGTCCAGTGTGGTAGATTACTTGATGGGCAGTTTTAACAGGGAACCCCAAGCCACTAGGTAGCATAGACAACAGAAATTAGTTTTCCTAGAGTCCAGCATGGGTGTGGAGTAGAGGCAGAATAGGCTCTCTCAGGGGTCCCTTTAAGGGGCTGGCCTGGAACAGCTGGAGGTCACTGGACATTGCCAGGATCATGTCCATTTGTTGTCATGATTGAAGGGCCTCTCCACATTTTCCATTTAGCAAATCACCTTGTCATACTGGATTAGGGCCTTAATCTCATTTTACCTCCTTAGAGATCTCTCTCTCTCTCCAGATGAAGTCACATTCTGAGATGCTTTGGCCTATTAATTTGGTGGGGAGGTCACCCAAGAATGTGGAAACGGGTTTGCTAACCATCCTGGAATGGGGTGTGGGCAGTCTCTTTCTCTCTGCAGTTTGCTGCTTTGATTTGGTGGGATGGTGGCCATGGGGCTTTCCTCAGCTAGCACTCAGCTAGGGTCAAAGCTCTGAAATTGCATGTCCTCTGGGACCATGGTAGATGACATGAATACCGTCTTCTGGGGCAGCAGGAGAAGGTACTAGTGCTTTGAGACTCCTGAAACAAGCCAGTGTTGTCTTCTTGGCATTGGGGTTTACAGAGAGTTCCTCAAACTCTTCCCAGTGATGGCATTGATGTTTTTGTTGTTTTAGTTTTTCAAGATAGGGTTTTCTCTGAAGCCTTGGCTGTCCTGGACTCGCTTTGTAGACCAGGCTGGCCTGGAACTCACAGCAATCCACCTGGGTTTAAAGGTGTGAGCCACCCAGCTCATTTCTTGAAGCAGCTGGAAATATAGACATCTTCCAGACTTGACATTGGCATATGGTCATATGGTTATCCTTGGAGCTGGGACAACTGATGGGCCCTGGCTCCCTCGTCATACCCTATCTTTCACTGTGCAGAGACCTTGGATTTCCAGCGAATTAGAGCAGGAAGAAGAGATGTGAACAAGGACCATTGGATCTTGTTCTCTGGGCATCCCAGCACAACAACCCCCAGCCACCCTTCCCTTCCATTGCCCAGCAGTGCCATGGGAGGTGGTTAGCTAGCCACCTCTGAGTCAGCCTGGTTTTGCTGTGCATAGGATCTTTCCCCCTTCCGACATGAGCTTCCTGACTGTGGAGTCTCGTAAGTGCCCTGACAGGGATTCCCCAGTTCTGAGGACTCCTTTGACCTAAGAACAGCATGACTGGCCCTTCTCCAGCAAGCCCGATGGTTGGACTGTGGTGCCCTGAATGGCCCCCTCCCATTGCTCTCCTTTGGGATTGAGGTCTCTCTTGTTTCTGAACATTTCTTTCTACCTTGTTCCAGTCTTTTTGGTGGTATGCATCAAGCTGAGTGATGGTTTTCTGGTGCCCGTGATGTCAAACACAGCCTGTGTGTTTACAAAGCCCGTTGTTTCCTCATGTGGAATTTTCTGGGGCGCCTTAGTGTGGTAACCTCTTTAGCTTCTCACCGTACACCTTTTGGTACATCTGGGATTTGAGGCAGAGGTGAAGCTAATGGCTGAGGTCTGTGCTCAGGTAGGTTTCACTGGCCTGGAATCTCCCTGGGTTTGGCTGCTGCTCTGATAATAGCCAGTAGCTGGAGCAGAAGTAAGGGCAGGCTAGCCCAGAGGGGATTGCTGTGACCCTTCCAGCAGGGCAGCTCTGGGAGGCCCACAGCGAAGGATCTACTGCCTGGGTATCTTCTTCCCCCGCTCCATCCCTGCAGAGAACCTTTACAACAGCCCACTCTCAGAATCTTCTCAAGCTTCCCTTCTCTCTCGTAGGACATCCCTCTTCTCCTGGACAGAAGGCCGGGTCTTGGAATTCTTCCCCTGAAGAATTCTTCCCCTGACGTCAGGAGGCCCATGTTCCCCAGCAGGCCAGCAGGTAAGCAGGCCCTTGATGAAGTTGCTGCCTTTACCCGCTGCCCAGCAGCAGCGTTCAGTGCCTGAGACCCAGAACATGTATGTCAGGGATGGAGAGGAAGGAAGGTTCCCAGCACAAAAGAATCAATGAGACAAGGAGCAGTAGATTCTAGGAGTTTCTGGTAGCCTTCCTAAGCACCATAAGCATGTCCCTCTCTCTCTCTCTCTTCGTGTCCTCCAGCTCAGTGTGCCCAGGTGGGGAAGGTCAGTTGCCTGGAGCTGGCACCTGCATGTTTCCAGGATGGTCACGTTCCTGTTTACTTTCTGAGAATTCCCATTCATGTCCTATGGACAAACCGGCTGGGCAGCTTGTTCTCTGCAGTGACAGCTTAAGGCATGGCCAGTGGCCTGTCCTGCCTTTTCACAAAGGAGCTGTTGTTAATCTAACATAAGTTGCCCAAGTCCAGTGCTGAGCAGTTGGTTCCGTTGGCTCTGAGGTTTATAGACAACCCCCCCCCCCCCAATTCCAGGAGTGTCAGGAGGAAGGGCTGCACTAGAGAATTAGTGGGTGCTGGGTGTTGTGTTCTCGGATGGTTCCTATTTGTTCATACCTTTCCCATCTGGCTGTCAGTCGGACCACTGTCACTGTCCCCAGTAGGATCAGTGGGGGAGGGGTTTTCACATGATATGGGGGCAGCTTGTGTCTTGTCTTGCCCGGTGGAAAGCATTGGCTACTGCTGCCAAGCTCAAGACTTCTGCTGGGAAAGCTGAAAAGCTACTGGGTCACGGAGTCTTTTGTTCTGGAACATGGATGTGTTTTAATAAACCCACTGCAGGCTACCAGTGTTGGTTAGGGGTTCTTTTTAAATCCGCAGTGCCCCCTGCCAAGTCAAGAAAGCTGCCTGGCGTTTGTCTCTTGGCCTCCCACCATCTTCTTTGGTCTTATCTGTGTTCCGAGTCCACATGTGTATTAGGGTAGGGAGAATGCCTGGGTGTCCTGGGATACCGCAAAGTATGCAGGGGCTTTCAGTCCCGGGGTCAGTATTCAGGCTCCTGAGGGCTGAGGTTTTAATGCCCAGGAAGTGGCCAGCAACAGGCCTTTTCCTTATAAGTGCAGTTCCTTGCCCTGTAGACACTGATGTGTCTGGGTTGTGGAAACAAGCTGAGAGCCATCCACATTCCTCACATTCTTTCGGCCTGGCATTGGCCAGAGGGGGCCAGGGCTCTGAAATTAGTATCAGTTGCTGTAGCTTGATTCTCTCTGGATGAACTCAGGGGGTTCCAGAGGGTTGTGCAGCAGGAAACGGGAGGGGCCCGCTTCTACTCTTCCCCTACCCCCGTCTTACCGGTCACTGCTGTAGGGTGGAGGTTGGTTGAGCAGGCCCCATCCTGATCTGTGTTAGAGGAGACTAAAGGGTGCTGCTCTTTGTCCCCAGCGCTTCCCTGGGTGGCATTGTGTGGTTTTCTTTTTCTGGCTCTCTGCCAAACTCGCCAGGCCAGAAAGATGTCAGGGAAGAGGAAATAGGAGGAGAGGTGCCCTGGGGTAGCTTTGCCATCTCAAGTGAGCCAGCGGGCTTTGCTCTCTCCCACCTGGGAACTCAGTGAGGTGAGGCAGGCTGTTTGCTCACCCTTAGATGAAGCTCAGGGACTAGACACCTCACAGCACATAAAGAGCCCAGCAGTTGGTGGCTATCAAGGTATCAGCCTTGGGGCCAGTTCCTGTGATTTTGTTCCAGAAAAACAAGTGTCCCATGTTTATGTTTGTGGTCCTTAAATCCACAGCTTGATCGGTCTGGAAGTCACTGTGGTGGACAGCTTCCCAAGGTGTCTGTGCCCAGAATTCTGCTGGTGGCCATTTCTGTGGTTTGCCTAGGGCACCTGGGACACAAGTTCAGAAGCTTAGGCTGCTCCTGACCCCACTTTACTCCAGCTGGAAGGACTTTGCCCTATGATCATGCTTGTTGCTGTTCAAGGTGATGGATGCAGTGGTCTGGTCATCTTTGAGACTAGTGTGACCGGCCCATGCACCTGTGTTACAGTCTAGGTGTCTTGCTTGATAGGTTTGCTTTCTCTTCCAGTAAAAGACTTAACAGGCAGGAAAAATCTTGAGCACCCACAGGTAGCATCATGGAAATCTCAAACACTGCAAACAGGAGCAGACACAATCAGCAGCTGGAGAAAGGATTTTATCGTGGGTTAGAAACAGACACACAGAGAAAAGGCCCTCTGCAAAAGCTTCAGTCTCTTTAGGGCTTTGTTTGTTTTTCTTTTTAAGTCTCTGATATTTTTCCTCCTCTAATTTAGGGTTAGTCAGTTTGAAGACAGAGATGATGGTCGATGGGCCCACGATCATTGTGTGACATGTCCTGATCTAGCCTTGAACTTGTTGAGCCAGACCGTCAGCAGGTATCTGCTGGTGGGAGACAAACGCCGACCCGGCCCTTGCTTTAAGCTGCCAGGCTTTGGTCTGAAGTCAAGACAGTGAGGAAGAAGCTAGCCACCTTGATTACCTAGCCAAGGCCCCTCTCCGTATGTCTGTCTACCAGGGAGTCATTCTTAACTCCTAGTGTCCCACCCACTAAGGCAGTTCAGAGCGTGGCTCAGCGGGTAGGAGGGTCGCTCAGGCTCTCTGCTGTTCTGTGTGCCCTGTTGTCTCCCTGCCCCGGCCAGCGCACCCCTACACTCCACGCTTGAGTGTGGGCTCCAGCCCATGGCAGCTTTGTCGCCCGCTGTTCTTGATTTCTCTTAAGCCCTGGGAGCTCTCTGGCTGCACCACCCATTTTACGGATGGCAAGCTTCTGAGAGGGCCTCATTCATGTTTAGCCCAAAGGGTTATTGTGAAATAGCAAAGCTCAGGCCTGGAACCTCACCAGGTTTGTGTGCCGTGCAAGCCGCCTACCGATGACTCACTCCTTATCTGGTACCTGGGAAGTCACAGGAGCCACTGGGCATGTGTCATATCCCAGATCCCCTCACTGACCTGTAGGAAGAGCCACAAACAGGAGCCACAAAGTAGAAATCGACAGGCAAAGTTAATTTAGGATGGTAAGTGTCTTTAAAAGTCAAACGTGCAGTTAAGAAATGAAATGGTCTATAAGGAGGGTTCCATCAATCCATGGTGGTCGGACTTTCTGACTTTTTCTTTAGGGGGCCAGCTAAAACCACTCTGTGCAGCTACCTCCTGCCTGGACATTCCACAGAGTCACTAACAAATTTTCTAGGCCTTAGATCTTGAATGCCCCTCAGAGGCCCGTGTGTTGAACGCTTGGCCATCAGACTGTCATATCACTGCGGGTGATAGGACCGTTAGGAGGTGTGGCTTTATGGGGGGGAGTCATGAGCTCACAAGTGAGCTGTGAATTAGAGTAGGACACAGGTCAGGAGACCCTGGACCCCACACTGAGTCATAGTAACGAATGCCCACCGTCTGACCAGCATGGAGCCCCCAGGTGGCTCAGACCGCGCCTGCGGCCGAGTCTCTCCCTTGGGTGCCTGTAGGCCTCTCTGGGGTCAAGTGTGATCTCATAGCTTCTAGCAGAAGAAAGCTATTAGGAAGGCTCACAGCCAGGAGGCTGTTCTTGGCATTTTCCAAAACCTCTGCTTTGAAATAGCCACGAAATCTGTGCCTCTTCAGTCAGTAAAGGACTTGAGCTGAAGGTGGGCAAGAGGAGAAGGGAGGCCGAGGGAGCCTAAGCTACTCATGGTTTTTAAGAGGCCGCTCACAGCCATTTCACCTTCCTTCGAGCAGGTGTGCCCTGGGGACAGGTAAGACATTCTCATCATACTTGAGGCTTTTGGTGGGGGCTGTTGTAAAGGAACATTCCGGTGTTGTTTATATTAAGCGCTTTGGAATGTCTTGATGAAATATGCCTGGACTTGGTAGACCCTTCTAGTCCAGTCAGAGTCTCCTGTTCCCCAGCCCCGTGCCTAGAGTCCCCGTTAGCTCAATGTTTAAAGCAGAGTGGGCCGACACTTGGAAAAGCCCACAGACAATGTCCACAGCTCCCCCTGGGGCCCTCAGGGACGGGGAAAGAGACCCAGGACGCCGCAGATTCCCCAGTCCTGTACCTCTGTGCCGTATCTGCGGGCACCTACCCACATTGTCTGCATCCTCCACTGTGGCCCCGTATGGCTGCTGGCACCTGATGCAGGGTAAATGCTGTCTAGCTTTCTGTATTCTTGAGGGAGTAACACTGAAGAAAGACTCTGTACGTGTCTCATACAGACAGGATTTTTTTAGAGCTTTATTTCCCTTTTAATTTTGTGTACGTGTGGATAGGTCCAAGCGTGAGTGCGGGTGCCCTTGCAGCACAGAAGAGCGCGCTGGGTCCCCCTATTTTTATTTATTCCCTGAGAAGCTCGTGTGTGCATGTACCGTATTTTGATCACATCTCCTCCCTCCAGTTCCCCTTGGACCACCACTACCACATCCCCTTTCCAACTTCATGTCCTCTTCCTTCTTTATAACCTACGGACTCCAGATAGCGCTGCCTATCAGCACGTGAGTGTGAGACCAGCCCCCAGAGCGTGCTAGCCTGCCAGGAGAGGTAACCAGAGAGTACAGGGATGCCCTGACTGAGCGATGTCCCGAAGGCAGCTTCTCACAGCACCCCTCCCCCATTCTCCTGCTCTTACATTCTTTCTGCCCCTCTCTTCTGTGATGATCTCCGGACCGTGGGGAAAACGGATATAAATTCACCATCTCTGCCTTGAGTTCTCACGATCAGTCATTCTCAGCACGTTGGCCAGTTTATGAACAAACCTCTGCAGAAGACACTTTTTTTTCCGTCTAAATATTTGTACCTGTGGTTGTTTGGACTCCTGGATGCAGGGGCTCTGTCAAAGAGAACGGATGTATTTATTTATTTAGGTAGGGCCTCCCATAGCCCAGGTTAGCTCTGACTCCGGATTCATGCCTCCACCTCCAGAGGGCTGTATTTATAGGCATGCACACCACAGCTGTTACACAGAACTGGGGATGGAAGGCTGAATCCCAGGCTTTGTGCAAGCTCGGCAAACACT